ATAGACCTCAATAGGCAGGTCGAGGGGAAAACAAAGCCCGAAAATTTCAGCGAGATAGTTTGGGTCATGGGTGGACAGCTAATCCTTGATGATCGGAGATCTACCGTCTATTGCAATGGCTTTAAAAGTCTGTTTCACGAACAAGGATGAACAGATCCCTGGGTTGCAACAGAAGCATAGTATAACGAAAGACAAAGAAGCAAACTTCACTGATAGCTGTCAAACACAGTATACACGTAGTAAGAAAGAATAGAGGATGCGGATTAAGAGTGGACCTGTTTGAGGAAAGGGAAGGTGAACCTCCATATGATCAACACACAGTCTAACTATGCATACACACATCTTCAAGCATTTCGATCTGGTAAAATGACAACAAGAACGCCAATGCTATAGGTTCGCTGTCATATCCTTCAGTATCTCCGAGCAACCAGTTAAAGACTTTTGAAACCCAGTCTGGAAGTGGAGACACATGATCATCAGCATCATCATCGGACAGCGAAATATAGGTGAGCGAACTTCACTGATCGCTGGCAAACTTATGATGCATACAAAGTAACTGAGAATGTGCTTATCAGGGTAGGGATTGGGCTCATTATTGTTTTTTTTGGGGGGGGTGGGGGGGCGGGGAAAGAAAGCGAACCTCTATCGTCAACACAGAGTACGCAGTACAACAGTGCATACACTGTTTCACGCACTGTGGCCTGATAAGAAGTGACAACAAAATCCTCACTGCTGTCGATTTTCTAGCGATGACCTTCAGTGTCTCCAACCATGCGGTAACGGGGTCTTTTGGACTCCAACTCGGAAGACGAGAGACACCTACTCTACCTTATCACCTTATGTAGTTCTTCGTACATCGTCTCCACGTCATCTGCAGGACTCTAAGTGTAAGTAAATAAGGCACCCTGTAGTAGAAGACCGTCGGACACAAGCAAAGCGTGTCCTGACCAACGGAGCCTATTGGGCTGAATTCGATGCGATAGCGAGCTCGTGTTCGATGCATTCCCAAACACCCGACGACTTACTTTTAAATCACTAACCCGCTCACTCCAGACCATTTGGGCCACACAACGTAAGCATTGACTGCCAAAAACCACTAGGTGACAGATGTCTTCTACCCGCAAATACAAGGTCTTACAACGATCGTAGAGTGATACAATGTACGCGAACTTTCAACTTCGGTGAAAAGGCACGTCATCGCCACAGGCATTTAAGTTCTGCGTATGCTGCTCGAGCCTTGGAAAGGCGGGCGGTTACGCTGCCGTCTTTGGTCACGCAGCTACCCAAGTACGAGAAGCAGTCAACTTCAGCTAATTCCGGACCGTCTAGTTTCAGAACGGAACTCAGCGACACCCACTTTTGCAGTATCACACTGCACCTGGAAGGTACAAAGCACATGCCGAACGTAGCGATAGAACTTGCTAATCTGTCAAGTGCTCTTGATGCATTCTTCACACATTCGGAGAGGCAAATGATGTCGTCAGCGTACTATAGATAGAGCAGCCTTTCTCCAGTTGCCCATTGGATACCAACATTTTGAAGACCACTTAGTGCATTCTCCAGTATTGCGGCTGTGACAAAATTGAGCGAAAGAGGGCACTCTTGACGAACACCACTGCTAGTTACGAAAAGCCTACTCAACTTTATATATATATATATATATATATATATATATATATATATA